AATTTTGGGTATTATCGTTTTTTGAGGTTTCGCGCGCGCACGCAATTTTAAGGCTTGACATGTTTGGTGTCTTTTTACCCGACGTGACCCCGTCTTTTATATTTTACCAAAAAATTGGGTAATAATAAATGTTTTATCATTTAATATAGGGGAAACTGTTTTTTTTGTTTTTTTTAAATTTCGGTAATTTTTCCTTTTAATATAGTAAAAAAATAAAACCCCCAGTGGTGAATAAATACCACCAAAAGAAAGCTCTATCTGTCCCCAAAAAAGGGTATACAATTCATTTCAGTACAGCGCTGCATGACTGAATAAATGTCAGTCAAAGTACCGCAGCGCTGAATACTGAAAAGTGTCCTGGACAGGAAGGGGGTTTAACACCGCGGATGTCAACTGGTTAATATAGGCTTTAACAGACATTGGCAGCAATGGATGATTCCTGGTCTGCTTTTATTGGGTTATTGAGCAGTTATTGCACTATAATTAAGAACTGTGCTAAACTTTCAAGTGCATTTGCTGCTATACATGTTTGAATAAATCGTCCCCTATGAAGGAAGGCTGTATGATTCTTACAATACATGTACTCTACTCTAATATTTAATTATGTTTCAACTGTTTTCCGGCTGTAGTATAGTAAAATTTTCCTATTTGACATCCTTTCGTTTCTGCAGATGGTGCATTACAGTTTCTATATCTTTACTTCAGCATGCTGACTTTATTTATTTTAATTAAATTTTTTTTTATTCTAGGTTTTTGCAACTCCAGCACAGCAGCCTATGGCTACACCTCTAATGACCCCCAGCTACTCTTATGCTACTCCCAGCCAACCTATTACAACACCACAGTACCATCAACTACCACCAAGTGCTACACCAACCCCGGCACCTACACCACAGTCCTCTCATTCACAGAGTTCGTCATCAAGTTCCCGACACAGACAACAAACCAAGTAAGCTTCTGTGTATTCGTAATCGAATGAATAATTAATTTTTTGTCCTGTACCTTTTTGCATTTTATTTCTCAAAAAATTACATTGGATTTATGAATCATTCATCCAGTGTGACTAGTTGTAATATTTTCTGTCTCACTAAATCAACAGCACTTGAAAGGCTTAAATGTTTGATTTGTGCAGTTTTGTAAGGGCCAATTCACACTATAGTGTTGCATGCCTTACTTTTTTTTTTTCATTGCCTGGCAATGCAACACATGTTGTTGCAGCACTGGGCAGTGATGCAACACATGCCCGCTGGGTTGGGGTGATATTCAGAACCAGTGGCAATACAACACATCAGTGCACCTAGCATGCATTAACATGCGCTGAGTGATAGTATGAGCTAAACGCCTATGGCATTCAATTACATTTTATAATCTCTTATTCACTGGTGGATGCTACACTGAAGGTCATGCCCTGCCTACAGGAAGATTGACATTATGAACACCTTGCTCTCTGGGCTTATACCATGTCTGATTAAAAAGCAGATCAGTTCTAATGCGGTGTAGGAGAAAAAACAAAAACAAGTTTGCACTAATGTCTAAATGTTTTAATGTTTGTTATTTACAAGTCTTAACTCTGTTAAAGTGACACTAAACTCAGGAGTTAAGTCTTGAAAATGCATTCAGGTAACTTAAAGGGGTTCTAAACCCTCCGGTTGTTTTTGCCTATATCTACTGCTAGCATGCAGTAGATATAGGCAAGAAGTGTAAAAAAAAAACAAAAAACGCTTAAAATCATTTAAAACTTGTACCCGCCTGCAGACACCGCTGGATCGGAGAGACGTCACACCGCTGGAGGGACAGATGAAAACATGGGGAAAGAAGAGGAAGATCGGAAAAAGAGACATCATTTAAGGTAAGTGCTGACATTTACATGGGGGGAGGGAAAAAAAATTGCCTTTTTAATGTCACTTTAATTATTAACGTCAATGTATCTTATTTGTGTATCACTCGGCTGTAGATCCTCAAATCATCTCTGAATTAGTGCTGACACTGGCCTTCCTTCTGGAGGAAACACGCTCCTGTGATGGACTACAATCTCACATTTAGTTTACTGATTTGTATAGAGATTGTAGTCCATCACAGGAGCGAGCTTGGAGCGGTGGCTACTTTATAACACACTCACAGGGAACATAGGGAACAAGTAGCCACCCACCAAAAGGAAGGACAGTGTCAGCACCAAGTCAGAGATGATTTGAGGATCTACAGCCAAGTGATACATAAATGAGACACATTTTTGTTAATAGTGAAGGTACATGGATGCACTTTTAAGTCCTTAATTTTAGTGTCACTTTAAAGAACTACCTAGATGTGTAAATATAACCCATTGATGCCTGTGTCTCAGTAAAGAAAACAGCTCTAGGTTTTACTGAAAGGTGCCCTGCTTACCTGAATAACCTGATGCTGTATTAGGGTTAAAAGTGATCAGCTGTTTTCCTGGCTGTTGCATAGTTTACCCCTTCCTGCCCTCCTTGCTGGCTTATGTGCAGTGAGGATGCCCAAGACTTGCTGCAGCCAATAGAAAGGCGAAGAGAGCCCGGAGGTGAAGATTGTACATGGACCTGGAAGGGATTTGGTTTCATCCAATGCCGCACTCACTTTTTATGATAAGCAAGGCTCTTTATATAAACTGATTATGTACAGGCACCAGGAGTAGTTGCTTGGCCAAAGATTTGCTTTAAGACCTGTAGGTGGCATACTGTGTCTTTGCCGGTTCCACCATTAACAGCAAGGGTATGTAAAGATAGAAGACAGGCATGTCCTAACTATTCTGAGTTTGTCACCGATGTTGAACCTTTTCTGCATCTAACAGTAATGTAATAATTTCTGTTATTTTTTTTTTTTGCTGATGCATAAATTTCTCCATCCACTTGCTTGCACTTGTATGTGTGCCTATACCTTGCTAACAGCTGAATGATCTCTTTTTTTTGTTAGGTTTTTTTTTATTTTTTATTAATTGTGATACTGTATTACATTTTTATATATTAACATTCACATATTTGGTCTGTTACTAGGAGCAGTAGCCAGACACCTATTGACTGGGGTAAAATGGCTGAGCAGTGGCTGCATGAAAAGGAGGCAGAGAGGCGAAAACAGAAGCAGCGGTTAACCCCCCGTCCATCACCAAGTCCTATGATTGAGAGTACACCCATGTCTGTCGCAGGAGATGCCACGCCACTACTGGATGAAATGGACCGATGAGTGCAGGACATGGGAAACCAACTCAAAGGACACATGAGAGCATCACATTGACCATTTTGTTTTTGACAGTTGTATAAAGGTTCTCAAACACGTGGTGGAGGATGTTACAGTGGGCTGATACATCCACTAACCTCCATGAGAAGAATGAACCTTTCCAGTGTAACTCTCGTATTTACTTAAGCGCTTGAAATCATGCTTTAGCACCAAGCGTCAATATCAGATTGTTTTCATATTAAAGTATTGGTTTACTTCCAGGAAAGGGAGGTCAAAGTGCTAAGTCGGCCTCAGTAGAAAAACAGTTATGTTTTTATGGGCTATGTTTTAAACATAGGATAAGCTTCACTGTTCTTTTTTTAAATGCATATTCTGCCAAAGAATGCAAAATAAATGGAGAGGTCTGAAGCTAAGATCTCAAGTCTCAAATAAATTTGATGCTCATGTTGACTGGCTGGAGCCATTTTATAAAGATATGTGGAACTAGAGGCTGATTGGAAGCATTAAGCGACTGAGGGCAGACAATACGGCCTTTTCTAATATCCTCTAAAAAAAATAGTTTATGGAAGAACACGCTACAAAGTTTTATTCCTTTAGGTATTTATTTTTCATCTTTGCATCTTTACGCAATGTGATATTTAGCTTTTTTTTTATCATTTTCATTGCAGTGTACAGGTGTCATAGACTTCTGATGGCACCTACAGTTGTCTGTCTTCTTTTTTTTTTTTTTCTTAATTTTGGTTTTGTTTTGGCAGCAGGCAAATAAAATAGTCTGGACAAAATGATTTATGGTTTTCTGTGTTGGATGAATGTAAAAAAAAAAGCTTCTTCAGGTTGTTTTATATATTTCTACATACCGGGCTGTGCGGTTAATAATCAATCACTATCCCTGGGCGCATCGATCCATGCAAAGTCCTGACGCAAGAATCACTACTAGAACCTAATTACAAGTGTGAATGGAGCCTTAAAGTACAGTGGTACCTCGGTTCACAAACGCTTCCGTTCGCGAACAGGAAGTTCGGCACAATTTTGCATTGGGTGACGAATACGACTGCGGCCATTCTCCCGGCTCTGACATGTGGTCGTGGTGTCCTCTAGTCGAGATCAGGGTCACAGGCAGACCTGTGCGCACTTACTGTGAAGCTTTTCTGTGTGCTTTTTAGCACATACCGTACTGTACAGTATTATTCAATCACCACCCCATAATAACTGTAACGAACAGTGTTAAATCTGATAAACGATAACGTGGTCGCATTTCCGGAAGGTTCTGCAGAGCAGGAAAAAACAAGTGACATTAGACAGATTTTTTTGCCAAAATTGACCCTGCAGCTAAGAGACAAAGAAGAGAGGAAACCCCTGAAGGAGATCTCCCCGATGTCCTTATGTTCTCCAAACAATAACCTCCTCCCCAACCGCCTTCCTGTCCTCCACGCCAGACATCGCCCCAAGAAAGGTTAGTGTTCACTCTCTTCATACTGTATTGTAATTTGGTTCATATTTTTGTGGTTAAAATTTTTCTCTACATATGGTGCAGAACGGATTAACCTGATTTATATTGAACCCAATGGGAACATTTTATTCAGTTCACGACCACGTTCGTAGGGGTCAGAACGGATTAACCTTTATTTACATTGAACCTTATGGGGAAATTTGATTTGGTTCGCGACCAGAATCGTGGAACCAATTAAGTTCGTGAACCGAGGTACCACTGTATAGCTGAATCAAATATTTGTTTACATTTTGGATTGAATAGGAGAGATTTAAACCCTGGTCAGGTAGGTGGTTTGTTTTTTTCGTTTGTGTATATGACAGGAAATGTAGGGAAAATCTCTCCCAATAGGACACCCGACCGGGGTTTTAAACCTAAATCTGCTTATATTTTGCCTTCCCTGGTTCCTCCCGCCCCTCTTCATCAACATGCTAATGACATTTTTAAAATTAAATCTTTTTTTCATAACATAGGTTTGGACACTTGGCTTCTCTAAGCAATGCAGGCAAATCAAGGCTGGTGGAAGGAGCTGGCTTCCTTAAACATCTTAGCACCCTGCCTCAGCCCTGATCCAAGCAGTGAGCTGACTCTCGGGTTATGCAAATAACAAAAATGCCTTGATGGGTGGATGTCAGTCTGGAGGAGTGGGTATTCCTAGGAAGGCTATATATGCATGCAGATTGCCACATGTGATGCTGAGCCTCAGTGATTGAAAGAACTGAGATACAATAAATGAAACTGGCATGCCAGAGACCGTAAGGACCTCAGCTTTAAGCATTCCATACGCTTGTTAAAATGGGACAAAATAGTTTTGGCTTAAGATACACAAACAGGGAGTTGTATGTCTAGGAAATACTCGGGTGCAGAGTTTTGAATTACGATACTGAAGCTACTGACGCAGTAATCATAACTAGGCACCGACTGAGAGACCTCCAAGCAAGTGCCCTGGAGTGGGCTCTGCAATAACCTTTTAAAGAAAAACTGTGTTTAGAAAAATATGTAGGCCTCCATTTGTGTGTGGCTTCCATTTACCGACCTAAAACAAATATGCAGTCAAAACTCTCTGACTTCTGGGTCAGTAACTTGCTTACACTGATTGGGTCAAGGAACAGATTCCCAGCCCAGCCCAGCAGATGGCCCCTTGCGCTGATTTCACTCCTCCACTTCCTGATCCTGAGAGGGCCCTGCCACTGGACAGCCAATAAGTATGAATGTGCCACAGGGATTGACATGGACATCCAAGGAAGAACCCTTCATAGAAGTAAACCGAAGAACTTGAGTCATGTGACCGTGATTTTAGGCAAGTAAGATGAGCTTTTTTTTTTTTTAATAACATGACCAGTTAGAGGGGGCTGGGGTTAGCTTTACTACTTCTAATATTACTATTACGTAGATGTGGTTCTGTGCTAAAATTCAGTGACCAGCTCCACTGTCAGTCACAAGCAGGTGGAAGTGTGTGTGTGTGTGTGTGCTGCGGTGGCTCTATAGAGACCCTGCTAGTGATAGGAGCCAATGCAGAAATGGAAGTGTACTTTGGCAAATAAATGATTCTTGGCTGACGAAGGGACTGTAAACAGAATACATTAGCAAACAAGATTTATATGAAAGTGTGACTATCTGATAATTTTTATCAGTGGGGTTTATTAACACTTTAAGGTCTTGCATTGGATATAGCTGACCTTTGCCATTTGTTTTGAACAAGATGGGTTCTGTAGGTTGGTTCTTACGTTGAATTTCTATGTAAGTTGGAAAAGGTACATTTTTTGAGTAACTCCAGCCAAAAAAAATGTTGTTTTGGATAGCATAGGGAAGGGTTAAACCCCCTGTAAAGTTTGTTTTGCTGTGTGTGCCCCTGTTCAGAAGATTGCACCTCACTTTCTGTCCCTGTGACAATTGGATTTTGAAAATTGTGTTGTCGTGGAAACAAGGATTGGTGATAAAGCTTCAGTGGAGATACCTTTTTCCATGATCACTCTTACAGGAGTGAATTTCCCCTCCTAGGGGTAGATTTCCTCTCACTTCCTGTTGTCTCAAGGACAGGAAGTGAGATTAAATCTTTCTAATGTGGATACAGACAGCAGTAAAAACCTCACAGTGCACCCCTCGTCTGCATGTCTAACAAGAGCCAACTTCCTGTAATGTACGTACAGTACTACAAACCAGACCCGAAAAGGCGGGCACTCCTCGTCAGCACGAGCGCAGTAGCATTACAACTACCCCTGCTGTAGAGTAATAGCCTCCGTTTGTAAGTAGGAGTCGTATGTAAGTCGGATGTTTGTAACTCGGGGACTGCCTGTATATTTAGATACATTAGTCTTGAGATTTGTACTCGTAAAACATTTTAGATTTGTAGCTGGCAAACATGATATCCATGGACTGGCAAATTTGACAAAATTCAGTCCATACAGCAGGGGAGAATGGGGACTATGCTTGACAACAGTGTAAAATGTAGTAATTATGTTCTTTGTGCAGTAAATGTGTAAATTAGGGATGCACTGATATATCGGCCGCCGAAACAAATCGGCCGAAAATGGCACTTTTGGCTAAATGCCAAAAGTGCAATTTTCCTGCCGATACATCAGCGCATCCCAGGTTTCTTTCCTCCCCGCTGGGCGCTGCTCTGTGTCCCAGCGGGGAGGAGAAAGTGACAGCCGGCCGAGCGCTGCGGGAGGAGAGTGCTATGAGCGGCCGGTGTCTCTCCTCCCACACCACTCAGCCGCCTATCACAGTCCGGCAGAGCGGTGTGGGGGGCGGAGACTGCGCTGTCACAGGAGGCTGATCTCTCCTCCCTGCACCGCTCGCTCAGCCTCCTGTAACAGCGTGTCAGAGAGGAGAGCAAACACTCTGATCACTGAGTGTTTGTAGATCATTGACTATATCCTCAATTATTACATTTATTTTCGGTTTCAGCCTGACAATTTTTTTATTTCGGTTTCGTTTCGGTTTTAAAATTTCTATTTCGGTGCAGCCCTAGTATATATCCATTCCATCCATATTAGAAATTCTAGGACATCTGTTTTATTTCAAGCAAGTTATAACATTAATGTTAGTGGTATATTTATATATTAGGTATTTATACACTGTAGTTGTCATCAGTGACTAAACGTAATGCAGTCCTTCCAGTGTATGACACACTATCCTACCGCAATGCTGGGGTACATTCCCCCTCAAGGCTTTGGTACAGTGTTTTACACAAAAAAAACTATTTAGCTTGCTGCATCTGTTTAATAGTAACACATGCACGTGGTGTGAATTAAGCCTTAGGATAGCACAGAAAGAAGAAAAAAAATTACAACAATCCAACCCCAAGTAACACCAATTCATACAGGAATCCGATTCCAGCTCATTGGCATCAATGCACACACAACAGATTGTATTCTCTCTTATGTGATACAAAACAAATAACGTATTGATTATGGCCAAATATTTAGCAGCAAAGTGGTTATAGTCATTATTTTTGCACACTTCCCAGGAATGTAGCCTATTTACCAACATTTGTATACTGATATATAACATCATAAGAATGAACAAGACAATGTTCACTGTGTGTTTGAAGGACCACAAGACTGTGTCTTAGGTTTCTTCTTCCGCTCTCGTCTCCCCTTTCGTTCTTGCCAGTTTTTCCTTTGAGGTTTCCTGGTGCAAGGTCTTGATTCTGGTGGAGGCGATGTTACCTTAGCTTTTAGTTCTTCCATTTTGTAGGTGGGCGTCAATGGTGTAGGTGCTTTAGCTCCATTGTTTCTGATCGGCTCATCATTAAGGACATCATTGAATGGATCCTGTTTAGGTTCCCCATCCAAGATGTCAAGTGGCTGGTTCTCTGGCACGGCCTTCTCATCTTTTTCAGTGCTCTTACCCCATATTTCTTTGGCTGGAGAGTCAACATTCTCCTTTTTAAACTGATTTTTCCTTTTACCCTTGAGGCCTTTTCCCTTTTTATTCTTCCTTTCTTTCTTCTTTGTTTTGTCTTTCTTTTTCTTGCCATCACTATCATCATCTACTTTGGACTGGTTGGGTGAGGTGCCTGGACTTATTGTCATCATGATCTTCAACAGGTCTTCAGTAGCTTTCATGACTTGTCCCAGAGTTGGTGGCTCAGGTGATGGGTCTGCTGATGGTGGCTTAGTGGCATGTATTTCCTTTGTTAGAGGTGGCTTGTCAATGAGATTTCCTCCATAATCATACAGGCCTGAGTCCATTGGAACAGCCACAGTCATATTCACATACTCCTCACACCTGAAAATGGCAATATGCAGAGATGACGTGGATTATAATCGGCTAAAATATCTGTATAAACAATGAACTTGAACATTTTTACAGTTATCACTTAATTCAATTTCTAAAAGCAATATTTTACTTCTACTTGTATCATTCAGATTGTTGTGCTATGAACATTGAGGGGAATTTACCAAAATTGGAGTAGACAAAATCTGGAGCAGCATTGAATGGTAGCCAATTGGCTTTTATCTTTCCTTTACAAATCTTACCTGAACAGAGAAGGTGATTGGTTACTATGAGCAATTGCTCCAGACTCTTTCTGCTCCAGTTTTGGTCAATTTCCCCCCCATTGTGTGGTCATAACTTGCCCGTGTTGGTGAAAAGAGAAAAATACCACCATTCAACCCTGTTACATATTCATTTAAAGTAATGCCTTCATGTATTTTTAGTGCGGCAGTATGTCCTTTATGTATTATCCTTTAGATCTCTCTACGGCAGGATTTAGACTGGGTGAGGGAGGGGCAAGGTACTGTAAGCCAACCAGAATTTACTACACATCACAAAGTTTGCTGAGAGCGCAAGGTTAAACTAGAAAGAGGTTGCTGCTCCTTCGCTATCCAATCACAGACGGGTTATTGGCTAAGCTGTAGTGCTTTTACTGCAGTAATGGAAAGTAAGGTCAGAACCTATCTGACAAAAATGTCTGAACTTGAAAACTATGACAGGATAGTGATGTCCGCTGCACACCAAACAGCGTGATAACCAAGAATAAGGTGATGTTTGCATTGACGGCAACGGATTGCTCTGTGCAGTCTCAAGTATAAAAGGGAAAGTCACCAGCACTCTGTTGTCAAACATGCAAAGATTATCTCTTTATTAGAGGTGCACCGAAATGAACATTTCAAAACTGAAATTAAAATGTCAGGCCGAAACTGTTTTTTATTTGAACTTTTTCAAATATTTTATTTTTATTTTTTTAACTTTTTAATTTTTTTATATTTTTATTAAATATTTTTTTTACTTTTAGGGGCTTCAGGGAAATATTAGAGGTCTAAACAGACCCCTGATATTTCCCTTTTAAAATAGAAAAAGAGATTGAGGACAGAGTCCTCAATCTCTTTTTCTGCATCCCCTGTTATAAATGAACAGGAATCCTCTATACTGAGAGTTCCTGTTCATTCATAAAATGAGAACATAGTGTGTTTACTATAACCACAATCATGAATGAACAGGAGGAGATGTAGATCACTTCCCATTCATTCATAATGGAGGATATAGTCAACATACTATGTCCTCAATTATTTACAAACTCTCAGCGACCACTGATCTCTGAGTTTGTACTGCTCTCCTTCCTGACATGCTGTCACAGCAGGCTGAGCGAGCGGAACTCAGCCTGCTGTGACAGCGCGGCCTGTCTCAGGCCACACACCGTTCTGCTGATCTGTGACAGGAGGCTGAGCGGTGTGGGGAGTAGAGACGCCGGCCGCTCACGGCGCTCTCCCCCTCCCCCGCTGGGAAACAGAACAGCGCCCAGCGGGGAGGAGAGAATACACGGATGCACCGCTGTATCAGCCAGAAAATGGCACTTTTGGCATTATGCCAAAAGTGCCATTTTCGGCCGATATATCGGTGCATCCCTACTCTTTATTGATGATACCTCACAAGTCCAACAGCAACGTTTCAGAGCCAGCTTGAGAAAGAGATCCTGCATGGCCCTTGAAACGTTGCTGTATGACTTATGTGACATATCATCAAAAGGAAAAGTCGTTAGCTACCCGTTCATTAACATCAGTCTGCAGTGTGTAGCTGGCAAAGCCCCATAGAGTTCTCTCTTCTCAATAGAGCAGAGTGAGCTCTGTGATTGGAGGAGAGCAGATCATGTCACTTTTTTCCCCCCCTCCCTTTTAACAACGCTCATTTATTTATAATGCATTCCACTGGCTTCAGAGTCCCAAGCCCGGCTGAATGTAAAGCACATTTCTAAAGCACATCACTGTGGTTCATAAATGTCTGGGGTTTGTTTTGAAGTGGAAAGAGGTGAACTGGGCAATGACACTGACATTGTTTTAAGTGCAGCTTTTTCAGCTCACTATGAGAAGATAGAAGCGCAATCGATTTTTGGTGGGATCAGCAGGTATGACTTTGCACTTGAACACAGACATAGCAAAACACATATAATGGTATATTTTATAGACCAAAAGGAAGCAAATACCGTGTTTCCCCGAAAATAAGACACTGTCTTATATTTTTTTGGGCTCAAAAAAAACACACTAGGTCTTATTTTGTTTTTTTTAAATGAACAACAATCCACACTTATTCATGTACAAAAATATGGTGATCAGGGCAATCAGGGGTGCCGTACCTTTCCAAGATCAATTTGCTAACCAATCGTTGGCCAGAGTGAGCGAAGCGCGCTGTCACTATAGATTCCTCACAGGCAGAGTACATTTGGTATCACTCCTCCTGTGACAGGAGCTGGCGCTATAGAGGAGGCATCGGATTATGCGGCTCTGCTCCTTCTGGTGCCGCCTCGCTTCCTCTAGCGCTGGCTTCGTTGGCACCGCTGATTCTCTCCTGCGGCTCTTCAAGTTCCCCCTTATGCCACCACCGGCCCTGGGAATGGTCATAACTAAGCCTTATTTTCGGAGTAGGTCTTATATTTTAGCAATTCCCAAAAATAGTACTAGGTCTTATTTTCGGGGAAACAGGGTAGTTGAATTTTATAGTTAATGTTTGCATACATTTCAAAGATAAAAATTGTTTACAATGGCCAATAACTTTTGTCTGTACCAAGGTCTGTGGGCTAGCTCAGGCAGTGTACCTGGTTCACAATGACCTACTTATATGTGTTGACAATCAAAATAGCTGAATTGTACTTACCATCCATACCATGTCCTTTTTGCACAATGCTGCTTGTAGGTTAACTCAAAGCACTGCACCTTAATGACATTGAAGAAAGCCTGCCCCACCACGCGGGATACTGTATCATTGACTCCTCGAAGGCATTCCTTAAACCTAGGGGAATACATTGTAACAATCATCAGCACATGGATGCAGTGATAAAGCAGACATTGCAAGCATGCACTACCACTTCTATACACTTTACCTGCAACGTTTGAATCATTTATTCCTGTCATTTATGTAGAATACTACAGGCTTACGGAAAACAGAGGCTTCTCAGTCTATAAATGCTAGTTGCCTGGATGCTGTGCTGAAGCCAGGGGATCAGCATGCCAACTAGCACTTCAGAAGGAAATCAGTGCTGTCAGGTTCATTAGTTCGGACTCATTTCTATGTGCTTGTGTTGTCATGCACATCGACAGCTGTTAAACTCATGCTTGGCTATGTGTCGTGGGCAGAGCCATCTTTAAATTTAATTGGGCCACAGGCAAGATTTTGCTGATGGGCCCCTACAACCCTCCCACCTCCATCACCTGGCCCCCTACTTCCTGACCCAGACCACCTAAATCACCTTCTCCCAAAAAGAAACTAAAAAATAATTCTATATATATATATATATATATATATATAGTTCA